CAATAAAATAAAATAAATTGTATAATAAATATAATATAAATTAAATACATTTGCATATTCAATAAAATAAAATATTAAATAAAATAAAATAATATATTATTTAAAATAATAAAATATATTATTTTAAATAATAAATAATAAAATAAATGAAAGAGAGAGAAAGAGAGAGAGAGAGAGAGAGAGAGAGAGAGAGACTATGAAATATATATTTTTTCATTTATTAATACATAAATTACAAAGAGGTTTGTACCTTTAGCTTTAAAGCAATACTATTGACGTATTTATTCGTCTCACCCGATTAACAGATTAAACTTCGAACTAAAAAAAATACCAAATTTTTCCCAAGAAACATAAGAAAAAAATATCTTTCACATTTCTCAACCCTTGTTCGGTTTTGCATCGTTATGAATTCGCACGATTTCGTTTCTTCTTTGAAACAGAACAAGGGGTAGGGGGTTAAACTGGTACAAGGTTAACAACGATAGACGGAAGTGCAAGGTCAACGTTGATTAAGAGTCCGTCGGCACGTCATACAATTTCGAAATCCATGCTGCTATAGTTGTCTACCACCCTCTCTCCAACCCCTCTTTTTTTTATTTCCCTTTTTTTCGAAATAAAAAAAAAAGGGAAAGAGAGAGAGAAAGGGTTCACCAACACAATATCGATCGGTCCAATAATAAAAAAAAAAAAGGAACCAACGCTGGAATTCAAATTCAATTTCTGTTGAATTCTTCCCTTACTCCTCATCCCCTTGCTTCTCTTTTTCCACCCCCCCTCCCACTTCTCATCCTTTTTTTTCTTTTTCTCTAATATTTCGACACGTTCCTATATAGTTTCCTTTTTTTTTTATTATTATGCAACACATTTTATTCACCATTTTTTATTATCTCCTACTTTTTTTTCATTTTTTTTATATTTCATTTTACATTGGAAAATTTGTCGTTCATTGTTCGAAACAATTTTTGAAAGAATTAAATTTTTTATTTACATAGAATGCAATAAGCAAAAGTAATAAGAAATGGTAAATAGGAATAGACAAGTATTTATTTGTAGTACTGTAAAGAAAATATAAAGGATTTATTAGTCATGGTAATAGGGAAAATACAGGTATTACAAGTAAATACAGGTTTGCAAGTTTTGAGTATTCTTTAAAAGTAAAGATGGATTTTATTGACAGACTAGATGGATGTATAGATGAATTGGATAGATAGTTGTTTAGTTTAGTTTATGTGCAATTTATTTATACAAAATAAATCTCTGGAAAATTTCATTGGAAATTGTTTTTGTATTTGTATAATGAATTTTTTTAAATTGATTTTTGATCCTAATAATATTTAATCATAAAAATATCGAATATATGAATATATTATATTATTATTTTATATTCTTATACAAGTAATTTCATTATATTATATAAAGTAGTATATATTTTTATATTCTTATACAAGTATATTTTTATATTTTATATTATTTTATTATTTATATTTTTTATTATTATATTAATATAATAATATATATTATAATATTATATTTATATAATAATAAATATTATTATATATTTTATTATAATATTATTAATTTATAGTATTATTATTAATTATATAATATATTTTAAATTGTTATATAAGTAATTTTATTTATTTTATATATTTTCTATATAATATTATTATAGTATAAAAAATATAGTATTATTAATTATATAGAATATTTTAATATTTTTTTCGCGACTGCCAGGATTCGAACTCACGATACTGCGTGTAAAGTGCCTGTTACCCTAGCACCGAGCCACGAAGCCGTACTTTATTATAATTTATATATAATATTATTTTACATATTTATATTATATATTACTTGCAAGTATTATTACATATATAGTATATTTAATATACTTACATAAGTAATATCTAAATATAATAAGTAATGTATATATATATATATATATATAATATCTAATCATTTAACTAATCAATTAAATTAATAATACATTGTTTTAATTTCAACGTTATAAACCAACACCTAATACAGTAACTTCTAATACGTTTTTCCATATGTTTACCATGCATACCACTACTATCAAACCATATTTTCTAGTCTATAATTAATACTATCGATTAAACAATCGATAACAGCTGTTTGGATTAGATCGATTGCATTGTCTATGTAATACTGTGTATGCCGATAAATGCATTCTCTTCCACGTGTTCACTAGCTGAGTTATCGTTTATCGGTTATATCTATATACGTAAGAATATCATCTTGATTTCTTCCCTCCCTCCGTCCCTCTCTCCCACCCTCCCTCTCTCTTTCCCACCCTATTCCCCTTTTTTCTTGTTTATCTCATTTTATCTATCTATTTATCTAGCTATCTATATTTGTATAATTCTTTATTTCATTCTTTCTTTCATTCTTTCATTTATTCATCAAACCAACCAAACAACCAACCAACCAAACCTTACAACGAATCCGTCCATTTATCCATTTAATATCCTTTATTCATATTACAGTAACTCTACAACTAGTTTCTCTTGCTAGATAACTCTGGTTAGTACTCATCGTGCTTTCATACAAGTTTCATCGTCACGTTAGTAGTTTCGAGAAACTTTCAATGTGATCGAGAAGAAGTTTTCTATCTCTCTATCTCTCTCTCTCTCTCTCTCTCTCTCTCTCTCTTTCTTTCTTCTTTTACGAAAAAAGAAATAAACGAATAAAACGTTATCGCGTGTTCTGATAAAAATTGTTCTCGCGAGGTTTTGTTGCGTTTATTTTTTTTTTTTTTAATAATTCGAAAAGACTGTTGTTCGTACGTGATGGCGTGACGAAAATAAATTAAAAATTAAAAAAAAAAAAAAAAAAAATAAAAACACACATAGAAAATGAGTGAGTAGTTTGATGAGATAGGATAAAACCAAAAGTGGTTATATGAAAACAAGATACAACAAAGAAAAAAACCAAAAAAGAAATTAAAAAGTTAACTCGTTTAACAAATAATAAAAGAAAGAATGAGAGAAAGAGAGAGGGGGGGCGGAGAGAGAGAGAGAGAGAGAGAGAAAGAGAGAGGGAAATTTAAAGACAATAGAATTTAAGCCAGGCAAATCGAAGCTCAATTTGGTTGATTAAATTGGCCTCGGTTTCTATAAAAAGAGATAGAAATAGAAGGATGATGACCAATGAACAAACGTTTTCTATGGTCCATACGTATTATCATCTTTTAATCGTATTTTCGTTCCTTTTCAAATTTGCCATTTGTTTGTTTTTTGTTCTTTTTATTTGATTTTTGTTTTTTTTTTATTTTATTTTATTTTGGTTACGACAAACAAACAACACGAATCCGTTTACTTTCTGATTTTGTATTTTTAATGTTTTTTTGTGTTACAAGTGTTAAAGTGTGTGAGAGAGAGAGAGAGAGAGAGAAGAGAAAAGAAAAGGTTTGCAATTAAAATTATTTGAAGATTATAAGAAAATGTTGCTGCGCACTATGAAATATTCGATTGATTGGCAATATCAATCTTATTCCAAATCAACTGTTAAATCATCCGATCGAATAATTACAGTCATCAAAGGTTTTTATTATAATAAATAATTAATAATTATTATTCCTAAAATAATAATAAAATAATAATATTAAATATAAAACATAGAAATTAATTATAAGTATAATTATTATTTATACAAAATAATATAAATAAAAAAAATAATAATATTTTTTAAATATACCAAATATAATTTAATTATAAGTATAATTATTATTTATATAAAATAATAATATATTAAATATACAAGATATAATTATAATTATAAATAATAATTATTTATAAAATAATACAAATATAAAATAATAATATTTCTTAAATACCATTCCTCCACCCTCCACCCTCCACCCTCCACCTTCCTTCTTTCTCTCTCTTTCTTTTTCTTGTTTTTATCTTTCCATTTTATTTGTTAATTTCAAAATGACGCATTAGTGTATATCTGTATAAATAAGAAAAAGAAAAAGATAAAGAGAGAGAGAGAGAGAGAGATAGAAGATGTGTATGTTGACTTTGAACATTTCATGAATAAATGTAACGTCTGTCAAAGGAAAAAAAAAAAAGAAAAAAAGAAAAACTTGTTGACAAAACTCATTACACGTATTGTAAATGAATTTTTATCATGTTATTATTTTTGTTCATTTTTGTGTCAATTTACAGTGTCGACAAAAGCACTGGCAGGTGCGAAAAGTCTTGGAGGATTTTTGTACAGCGCTGTTAACAAAGCTGGCAAAACAGTCGTCGAAGCCAGTGTGAAAATCAAGAAAACGGTGGAAGAAAACGTGAGTTGTTATTATTATTCTTTTTATTTTGTATAATTCATTATTAATTTATCAAGCATATATATTTTGCAATGATCACAAAACCCTTTTGAATATTTTATAAAATTAATCTATGAAATACTTGCCCATTATACACATTGTTTATTAAACATGTATATCTAGGGGTAGGAAGTCACCTAATGGCTGACACATAAGATGTTTCGGTTTTTTATTTATTATTTAGTGAAGTCAACAAACCATAGAATCAACAGAAATACAACTTCTGTATAAACATATTTCAAAATAATAAGAATTAAACTTTGCTGTAAAAATATACAATCGTTGGAAGTGTCACCTAGTACTGGACAGATTTCACTTCGAACAACTACCACCGGAAATTTTTAAATCATCCCGCCATCAATCACATATGTAGACGTCTGAACATTCAGAAATGTCTGCCCATGCTTCATGAGCCCACCCATGGCAGTTGGAGCACTGTATCCAGTCTTCGTCGTAGTCCACTAAGCACACTACACAAGTAGTTCTTTCAATTTCAGATATCTCAGTTAGTAGCTGTTTTTTCTTATCTCTATCCTCCACTTTTTCCCTTAGCTTTTACTCCATTGGCTTGTTTTCCCTTTGACTTCACTTATTCCTTTGGCTTTCACGTCTTTGGTTTGTTGCTCGTACTTTTCTTTTGCTATTTTGAATGTACTTTTCACTGTCCGACGTTAAGGGACTAGTTTTGTCCGGTACTAGGGGACAGGATAATACCAACGTTACGTGATCTATACCTAATCCGTTTTGAAAATCAACAACAACATTCATATACGACGAATAATAATGGAGTCCTTTATAAATTAATAAATACCATACAGAAATGTAGGTGTAACATTTATCTGAATCTTACGGGATGCAGTATTTTTCTACTGAAAACAGAAATTGTGAACTGCTCCTGATGTTTCCTTGAGTGTCACTGATTAACTGGATCGTATGATTCCGCACCCCTTTCACCCCATTTTGAATTGTTCACGTTATCATTTTTTTGAGATATATGAGTGTCCAGGGTTACGTGAACTTCTCCTATATATATATATATATGTATACATAAAACTAATACTATAAAGAAATAATACTTTATCTCTGTCGAGATTGGAAACTTGGATGCGTTTCAAGGATCTATTGAAATCCTTTAAATTTTTTTCCAACATCCGCCCATTGGATAATTCCATTTAAAAACTTTCTTTTATTNCCTCTCCCCGTTATAAATGAAAAACTCAATTTTACCGTGAAAACTACGTAACAACTTCTACGTGGGAAAACTTTCGAAGAAGAAAAAAATAAAAAAAGAACAAAGAAAAAAAATTAAAAGTGTATAGATAAATGGTGAGAGATGAATAAAGAAAGAAACAAATTATCGAGATCGTTTTAATTTGATTTTATTAATGAAATTGTTCAAGAAATTGCTAAACGTGAAAATTAATTAACCAATTTATCGCGTTCTCTCGCAATTTACAATAATTGAAGAATTCTTTTGTTTCTCTTCTTTTTTTTTTTTTTTTTTTTTTTTAGTTTTGCCGAATATTTAATTTTACGAGAAATTCGTTGTATTGTAATTATATTGTTTATTTAAAAAAAAAATGGGGGCTACAATAACAAGCAATTAGGAATAATGATAATAATTATTATGCTTATTATTATATATTAATCATAATTATTCTTATTATTGTATATTAATTATAATTATTAATATATATTATATATTATATAATTATACAATATGTATATTTATATATTATAATATATAATTTATATTATATATAATATATATTTTTTAATTATATTTATATTATATATATATATAATTATATTATATATTATATATTATATATTATATATTATATATTATATATTATATATTATATATTATATATTATATATTATATATTATATATTATATATTATATAATTATATATATATTGTAATAATAATATTATTAATAATATATAACAATAAACTGTAAATATATTATAATATATTGTATTTAATATTATAACAATTTTTATTGTTGTTTATATTGTTTTATATTGTTTTTATATTGTTAATATTAATATCTAATATTATATTAGGGCATAATTAGAATGAAGTATATTGTCAAGGGGAACGAACATGTAGGGGAGGCCTTCGTGGTAAACACCCTAAAGGGGTATACCTGGAATAAATAAATAAATAAAAATAAATATATATTTTTTTATTTGATATTCTTTTTTTTTTTTTATAAAGGTTCGTATAAAGTTAATTTATGATATTTTGAAAAAGTTACAATAAATCTCGAAATGTAGGTTATCACAAACCCGTTCGATGTTCGATTTTATCCTAAAGCTTATACTAAGGTATCAGATTTTACGGGTCCTCGTGAATCAATGTACCTAAGCCAATCATCCACATACACATACATCGTTCTTCCTATAATCCTATATTCCTATAGTAATCCTTAACTTCTGTGGAATTAACTTTCGTTTTTGTGAAAACGATCTTTTCAGTTGAAACAGCTTAACAGTTCGCATAACGAATTTATTTTTATCATTTGACCAATTTATTTTTACATGTTAATCAATTTTATTTACATGCCTAAAAATGTTTACACTTTCGTATACTTACTAAAATATCGAATAAAAAGAATTAAAAAAAAAAAAAAGACAATAGAAAAATTGTAGGAGTATTGGTATGAAACAAATCGTACGTAAACTTATCATTAGAAGATTTTTTATTCTTTTTTTCTTGTCTTTTTTTATCTTTTTTTTTTTTTTTTCCAAAAGTCGATGTAGAAATAGTGCTGACGAAGAGTAGTAGAAAGTCGAGGAGGAGAAGGTGGGTTGAGAAGGTTGAGGGGGTTGAGGGGGTGGTAGTAACGGTACGAGTTGGGTGTGTTAGCGTAGTTGGATCTCAAATAAACCCGGGGGTGGTGGTTGGATCAATACGAACTGCCCCTATTCTTCGGTTGTATGCACGAGGCGTAATATCTGAGTTAGAAAGAGAGAAAAAGAGAAAAAGAGAAAGAAAGAGAGAGAAAGAAATACATGGACACGCGCGCTCGCGCAAGCGTGTAAAATAGAAAAGAGACACGATATGTGTAAGTAGAGAGATACACACATGTATATATGTATATGAATGTATGTTTGTATGTTTGGTAATACGCGAGTTGAATTTTGTGAGCAAGCAAAACATCGGACATCGACAAAAAGAGAGAGAAACTGGTGTTGTCTGAACATTTTCGACGATTATCACTTGAATGTTTCTTTTATCGTATGGTTATTCCACTTGTTGGAATAAGATAATAATTAAAAATTGAAGATAAAATTGAAGAAACTAAATTTTATATAAATATACATATATATATATATTTATTTATTAATTATATTATTATATTATATAAAATATAAAATTATATATATATATATATATATTTATTTATTTATTATTATATTTATTATATTATATATTATTATATTATTATATTATAATATTATATATTATATTATTATATTATATATTATATATTATATTCTAAATAAATAAAAAGAATAGTCTCTTAATTGATATGTTGTAAATTAAATTAAATTTGCTTTAATTTTTTTCTATCTTTGTAGTGGAGTCCTCGAGTGGGGTTTCAAAGGTTTCAAATTCAAATAACCACAAATAATTCATCAATTATCTTAGAATATACATATACATGAACATTTATCTTTGCAAAAGTATATATCCCATAAAAATCTTGTTTGTATTCTTCCAACAAATTTGTGTCTTTGTTTAGAACCTGTACACAGGGATCAATCGGTTTCGCACACAAATCATGTTTCATAGTCGTAGTACATAATACGTCAATTAATGTACAAATAGATGTGGTAGATGTTCAAAAACAGAGTTCAAAGCATCACTATCACTACTACCATTACTACCATTACTACTACTACTACTACTACTATCACTACTATCACTACTATCACAATCACTGACATATGATTTTCGTTACATAATCATTTTGGGAGATACCAATTTGTCGGCGTACATTGGTTACGGGTCTAGGTAACAACTATATTGAATTTAGGCTCTAGTTCAACACACGTACATATACGACCACTCAAAGATAGTGAGAGTGTATGTGTGGGCGAGTCTGAGTATGATTGAGTTGGTAACAAACGCACATACACGTTTTGCATAGGCACTTAAATGCAATCAACCCGGAGTAAATCAATTTGCAAAGTTTCCTCAATCGTTCTGTTGTAATACGAAATGGTTAAATGTGTGAATACATATATGTGTGTGTGTGTGTATTTGAAATTCTTATAAAAGAAGTTTTATAATCATTATGAGCTACTTATTAACACTTTATGATCATCACATCAATCATTCGTATTCTTTTAATAAAGTCACGTGAGTTATTTGATGTTATAATTATATTTTTTATTTTATTTTATTTTATTTTTTATTTATTCAATTAATTATTCATTCGTTGATTTATCAGTGAGATCTAAAAAAAATTATTTTAAATCTATAAATATAAAAATGTAGATTTTGTTTGTATCTAATCGGCAATCTTCAAAAGAACTTTGCCTAGATTGTCTTGAAATTCTAACACAACGTTGCATTCGCATACAACGAGGTTTTTGTTACATTAATTTATTTATAAAATAATTATGTAATTCAAACGAAAAAGATACAGATAAGTCCAGCGCCATCTGTTGATCATAGATTTCAGTGAATGCGCGAAACGTTTGAACATAACCTAAATGACTCACATGAGCCATAATAACACGTTCCAATGCACAGCTAGTAAATTATACAAATAAAATTGCACTTTATGTTAAATAATTACAATTTATATTTAATTTTATTGTTAATTATACGAAAAAATACATTAATAAATTTTGTTTAACGATCAATTTCTTAAAACGTGTAAATGTAATTGGTATTTGTAATTTTGATACGCGTGTAGGTTAGAATTGTTCAACACAATTAT